GGAAAGGGCTCGGTCGTCGACGATTCGAGCCGCACCACCCAACTCAATTTAATAATGGTATCTTAGTACCCAACTCAATTTAATGATGGTATCTTAGTACCCAACTCAATTTAATGAAGATATCTTAGTACCCAACTCAATTTAATGATGGTATCTTAGTACCCAACTCAATTTAATGATCGTATCTTAGTACCCAACTCAATTAAATGATGGTATCTTAGTACCCAACTCAATTTAATGATTGGTATCTTGGTACCTAAACTCAGTTTCATGATAATAATATGTTCCATAACACTCGCCCTTCTCTTTCGGTTTATTTGTTATACCGACTACTTCCTTCGCTGTGCCATTTAGGCTTTGGGTAAATTCAATACCTATATTGCGCATTTACCATTATTGATAACTTAGACAGCAATACCCTCGAGAAACGCCGTGATATAAGAGATCAAATGTTGTTGTACAAATTGCTTCATAATATCATCGACTCACCCCTACTTTTAGGCAAGGTGAATCTTGCGTGTCACAGGTTAGGTGCGCGAAATAAACCACTTTTTGCATTACCTAAAGTTAATAATTTTGTATCTCGTACATGCAAAAAGTTTAACTTAAAATATTGTAAATATTAGATATTTTTCACCTTGAATATGATAGTTACAAAGAAAATATTGTAAAACTTAATATATAATTGGTAGTATCACTTTGAGTTGTATATATAATGTTACTTTTAACTACTTACTACTTAATGTTTTAATTTATGAATACCATTTAGCTTGTTTTATTCTTTTATATTTTTAATTTTATACAACATAATATTGTGGTTTGCTTTTATTATGTATTAGATATCTGTGGAAACTTCATTGGTTTTTAGGATTACTTTTATATGTTTTATTATGTAATTTATTATTGCACTGTATGTTACCCTTAAAAAGCAAATAAATAAATAAACAGTATTACTAGTTACCTACTTTGCAATGTACAGAAGTCGTGAAGTGTCCACGATTTTTTGTAAGACTTATATATACCATGAAAGCAGTAAAATAGTATTTTCATTAAAGGCGATAAATATCACACCTACATGTTAAATGCCACTAAAATTTAGCTAACGACATTGTATTTCGGTTCGAATCGAGAGGAGTTTTTAGTAACATCTACTATTTTTCCATCAAAAATCTTTTTATATAAAAGTTGTGCTAATAGACATATGTTAAAATAAATCATTATTTTATCATTGCTACATAAAGAATATAAATTTTTGCACACCATAAGCGTGGTCATATGCGAACATATAATTTATATAAATTGTTAAAATGATCAGAACAGGGTTAAAAACAATAAATCATAATTCATAATCCACAGTTTTTTTCCGCGGGTACTCTAGGAATTAATTTACAATTGCAATGCTAATAGTTGCACATTGCTAACCTATTTTTGATTATATCTTTAAACTAAATAGATACTCATCTTTTTCCTCGTCGCCACTTGTAATGTCTGCTATCTTCTCTAATCCTTGTAGTGTAACACAGGCTCGACACTCACTTAAATAAACACGTCCACTCTCGCCGGAGGCTCTCGTGTAACTGACGCGGTGCGCTCGAGACAGTGACTTATATATAAATGTATGTTTGTGTATTTGTGCATGGTAAATTATTAGTAAATAAAACAAATAACAATATTTACTGTATACTACATATAAGCAAACACTACAAAAATAAAGTCCCCTTAGCATGTATAGCATTTTGTTTTATTTTAGGAGGTGCTTGATAGAAAACCATATATAGTGGAGTTTAATTGTAACACTACTATATTGAAAAAAAAATACGCATTTCGTTTTCCGTAATGCTGTATACACTATTAATATCCCCGAAATATTGTATCATGGACGCCCTATTAGAAAGAAATGGAACGCTTAACTCGGTGCCTTTAATTCATTTCAAGGTCACTGATTTAGGAACGTTTCTCTAGTATGAAGTGCGCACTCCCTATATTTTACAACCTCCTTGGGAATAACCTAGATTCTAGACCACAGACTAACTAGGTAACTGTAACTATAGTGTAATTTGAGGTACCTGAACCTAGCCCCACATCGATTTTTTTTATTTTAATTAATTGTTCGTCGTTTGTTCGTTACTGTTCAAGCATAAAAATTGTTTGTTTGTTTTTTAATTATTTAAAATTAATTAAATAAATTTCATGGTTAGGTTGGGCCCCTTATTATATATTTTAACTTTTATCCCTTAAGTTAATAAATGTTTACTAAATATCGTTTATTCAATCACTATTGATGATTGTTCGATCATAAATACAACTTAATTGTTAATATTAGGTCCTTACATATGAAATTAGCGTTTTGTCGTACTGACCACTTTGATCTGAAATATCTCCTCTTAGTTTAGCTGGTACATTTGAGTTTTGAAAACAGTCATTTGCTTTTTCCTCATTATTTTTTTCTTTGGCGTCGCTTATTACCGCACAATGGAAAACATGAAATATCAGTATATTTACGAGTAAGAGTTCTACCGTGACACCAGTGCTGCAGAAACAGCTCGAAGCAAAGTACGTTTTTGGTTTCATCGTTTTTGTTCTGGAAATTTTGACCTTCAGAACCAACCCCGTGGATGGCCGGAGATCAAAGTAGAAAATGAAGAATTAAAGGCTATTGTGGAAGCGGATCCATCACAAAGCACTTCAGAGATCGCTGCAGGCGTCGGGGTAAGTGATAAAACTGTATTAATCCACTTGAAGCAAATCGGGAAAGTTAAAAATCTTGAACGATCGGTACCTCATGAATTGAGTGAATCGAACTTGCAAACACGCGTAGACTGCTGTGTTACTTTGCTCAACTGACACCATAATGAAGGGATTTTAAATCGAATCTTTACTTGTGATGAAAAGTGGATATTGTACGATAAGCGGAAGCGCTCGTCGCAGTGGCTGAACCCTGGAGACCCAGCCAAATCCTGCTGAAACGAAAATTGACTCAGAAAAAATTACTTGTGAGTGTTTGCTGGACTAACGCCGGTGTCGTTCACTACAGCTTTCCAAAATCTGGCCAAACGATTACGGCAGATATCTATTGTCAGCAACTGCAAACCATGAAGGAAGAACTAGTTGCTAAACAACCGAGATTGGTCAATCGCTCTAGGCCACTGCTGCTTCATGACAACGCAAGACCACACACTGCACAACAAACAACCACTAAGTTAGATGAGCTACAATGGGAATGTCTGCAACATCCACCGTACTCCCCGGACTTTGCTCCAACAGATTACCATTTTTTTTTTTCGGAATTTGTACAACTTCTTACAAGGAAAAAATTCAACTCCGATGCGACAGTCTAAACCGCCTTCAAAGAATTTATTGATTCTCGCCTCCATGGTTTTTTAGTAAAGGGATCAATGAACTACTTATGAGATGGCAAAAGTGCATAGATAATAATAAATACTTTGATTAATCATTATATATAAAAATTACGTGTCAAAATTGTTTGTCCGCGATGAACTCCTAAACTACTGAACTTATGTCAATGAAATGTTTCACAATGTATGCAGTTTGGTCTAACTTGAGAGATAGGATAGTTTTTATCCCGATAAGTGACTCTCAATTTTTTTTTTGTGAATTTAATAATTTTTTTAGGACACATGGTCGTTGGAAAGGACAGAACAACGTCTGCCTGGTTAGGTTAGGTTTTCTTCCTGTACAAAACGCCAATTTCATATGTAAAGACCTAATAATTGGCCATTAAAACGAGCGAAGCGAGCTCGGGACTTGAGGCACCCCGACTCGGACAGGTTAGGTTAGAAGGGGATGGCGGGATCGAGTAAGAGGTCGAAGCGAGCGAACATACCCCGGTATACGCAAATCGCATATCAATTTATCAGTAAGGCTTAATATGCAAGTGTTAGTAAACCTAAAATTACTTAATTTTTATTACTGTTATTTTATTAAGCTGTTAATTGGTCTAATTTGCATTGTTTTTATTTATTATAATTGTACCTGGCTTACCTTTATATTTAATATGTTGATGACTGTTAGTGATATACGTTGTTGTTATCCTTATTAAAATAAAAATAAAATAAAATAAAAATACTCTTCGTGGTTATTTTTTTATAAACCACCTAGCACCTAGTAATAGGAGCCCCGTTAGTCGGGGTTCCGTCGACTACTGAAAGATATTGAATAATTAACAATTAAGTTGTATTTATGATCGAACAATAAATTAATTAATTTAAGGGATAAAAGTTAAAATTTAGAATAATCTAAGGATGAAATTTGATAAAAAACGAATAAACCATTTTTATGTTCAAACAATAACGAACAATTAATTAATAATTACTAAGCGTGGCAACTATTGCGAATATCCAGCAACATCAACAACCAGAGCAGCAGTTACAGCACTTTTAAACGGTAAAGCAGTTACACAACTTTTAAAGAGCTTATAATTTAAAATTAAAAAATTTGTACAACCGACTTTAATATATATTATTAAGAAAAACTATTGGACAGGCCTTGATCAAATTTACAATTTACATGTGAAGCACCAGTTTTCAAATAAAAAAAGAATCATCGAAATCGGTTCACCCAGTAAAAGGTTATGAGGTAACACACATAAAAACATAAAGTAGAATTGAGTATCGTCTCCTTTTTGAAGTCGGTAGAAAATAAAATAAACTCAAAAATAAAAAATTCAATCCTGAATCTAGTCAGGCTCCATAGATAATACACTATATACCAGGGACTTGGCTCTTTGTCTTGCTATACAGCTTGCTACATGATCATGCTGCATATTTATTAATCTGTGTAAGTGTGTAGTGGATTGGCAAGTGGCAACACTGAATTTAGTTATCCTCGTTGCGATTTGCCAGAGATTTCGATTTTATATTTTTATTAATAACAAGCGCGCAAGGCGAAACATTTGTGGCAGTGGTGCTACTATTAAGCATTAAACTTAATTATTTAAATTACCGGGATTCACGGCTGCTGTTTATCAACCACCGAAAACAATGTCCCTGTTTGGATCCTTGATGGGCGACGTGGAAGACGATCCGTTTTTTGGGTAAGATATATTATTGTTTTCCTGCTTAAAGTTTGTAAGAAATGCTCTATAATTATTGCAAAAAGATAAAACTTTCGTATTAATGAAGTGCATATAAAAGTGTGCGCGAGAAGTGCATATTTGCATGGAATCTGACTATTAAAAATGAAGTATGAAATTTCTCTAAACGATTACAACAGCACGTCTTTGTATTTCCTTATTAAAGCAACAGAGCTTTATTAAATCAGTATTACCAAACTTAATCAGTTTAAAGTATTTGTCGTCATCCAGTTTTGGGATTATATAGGTAGCAAAGATTTTAATCTGTAATCTGTATATCACATTGAAAATGTCACACCGAAAACCAAGCTCAAACCGTTCTTAATTTATTGTAAGAATACACACTCCCTCAATAATTAATTTACAACCAACTACATGTAAAATAAAGATTACACCTTGTCCTGAATATATGTAAAACTCTTTACTGTGTATATACAGGGTTATTTTTCAGAGTAGCCAAATTTTAAACTTTAACTCAAATATATAAATAATGATGTACCGTCATTACCGATGTTGAAAATATGTGTAAATAACGTTTCTACTTTTATTTGAAATCATCCTATATTGAATGTGATTTAATGGCAACAACTATGCATAAACGCACTCCTCTGTGTGTGATTCAATTTTCAATGTTTTTGCCAACTAATAAACTCTTACAAATGTGTGTGTGCATAGTAAAATAGGAAGCATTAAATAGTTATAAATGACAGTTAAAATAATGCATTATCACACATTTTGAATTTAAAAGATAAAAAGGACGGTATGTTTGAGATTATTTTTATTTAATTTTTCTTCATCATTTTCTTGTATTAGTTATTTTGAACTTTCTCTGCAAATTTGGCCGGTTATTTCAAAATAGCTCTCAAAGATCTCCTGCCGGGCAAGGTGTTCTGCCCGGGGAGCGGCCAAGGCTGCTATTGGTAGTTCGGAGCTATTCTATATATTATGCTGCTTTAACTTCGGAACTTTGTTAGTACGATTTAGGCTTCGATGTGTTTCGCTTGTGGCGCCACGACAGCGCCGCCACATCACCCCCCTGCTCAGATCGGAGGTCAGTGGGGAATGCATGCTGTGTGCGTAAGGGCAAGTGGTGCCAGTGCGAATGATATGACGGTGTGTAATGCATGCCATACTACGCACTTGCAAGTGATGCCGGTGAGAACGATGAGCCGAAGCAAGTGCCAGGGATTGCCTTGTAGTCTGCGGTGAGTCGAGAAGAAGGCAAGTAGTCTGCGAGAATGCCGTGAAGCAGAGGCGAGCAGTAAGGCTCAGAACCGTGCCGAACACTGTAGCACAGAGAGTAGCTTGAAGGAACAGGAAGCATTATAATTCCAGTGCTGCGATTAACCTTTGTAAAGTTAGATGGTTTGCAGAATGTGAAGACTGCAGACCATCTAACAAGCAGACAATATCCTAAAAATATTGCTCCCAAGCAGACAATATCTGCTTGGGAGCGAATGAATGGGTAACTTGAGGATGATGACAAAGGTTTGAAGTTGTAGTTTCCAAAGGTTGTTGGTTGCATGTTCATATCACGTTGGTTGGTTACCACTATGGCCGGTGGAAGGAAAAGGGGAGATCTCCTGCCGGGCAAGGTGGTCTGCCCAGGGAGCGGCCAACGCGGTTGGTAGTTCGGAGTTATTCTATATATCCTGCTATAACTTTGGAACTTTGTTAGTGCGATTTAGGCTTCGATGTGTTTCGCTTGTGGTGCGACAACAGCGCTGCCACAACACCTTAACAAAATGTTTGTGTAATAAGAGACTTAGGTGTGTTTAAAGATGGAATTAAATGGATGGAGGCTTAATATTATACAGTTTGGTTACTTGAAACTATTTCTTTCAAGCAATCCTCTTCTTATCTTACACTTTACAAATCATTAATAAGATAGAGTATGCCACACCTGTTTGGAAATCACTCAATACATCAAAAAGATAGAATTAGTTCAAAAAGTGTTTATGCTCTATGAATTTCCATTACTTCCACTCTCTCTTAGGATACTCTTATAGATAAATTTACTCCAGCAAAACATGAGAAGAGAAGATGCTCTTTGATATTATGTTGTTATATAAATTTTTTCATAATTATATTAATTCTCCTACTTATCCCGCTGGATTTCTTGCTGGCTCTTCCCAAGACAGAGGTTTTTTTGCGAACCAGCAGTATTTTTTTTTTTTTGAATGAATGAATGAATTTCTTTATTTTGCAAATATGGGTGATACAGAATGTGGTGACAAATATATAGTATAGATTCCACCATATTTTACCAGAAGGCATGCAAAAACATTTTTTTTTTCAATTTACGAAGATATGTCATTCACGATACAATATAACATTAGGTTAACAAAATTAAAAAAGTCTTCAAATTATATGTAAGTCTAGTCAATCGGTACATTATTATCACTATTATTTAATTATTCATTCCATCGTCAAATTAATTACATTAATAATAATACAATACATTAATAAATATTCACGTACATATTTTAACACAACATTTTGTCCATTAAAAATTCATTGATATTATAGTATACCTTGTCTGCTAAAAAGTTTCGTAGCCTTGTCTTAAATAATGAAGTGTTGAGATCCCTCCAACACTTGGGTAATTTGTTGTAAACAGCCGGCCCCATACAGCAGACACTGTTGCGTATTAGTGCTGTTTTTCCCTTAGGAATATAAACTCTACTATTGTCGCGTCTGTTTCTTGGGGCAATGTCTGCCAGGCACTTAAAATGGTTCTGGTTCGACTTTACAAATACTGCTATCTCTAATATATATATACAAGTTAGAGTTAATATTTTATATTTTTTAAAATATGGCTTACAGCTATCGGTACTCTTCAGTTTAAACATGGAGCGTATACACCTTTTTTGGGCCGTAAATACCTTTCCTTTTTCACAAGAGTTACCCCAAAATATTACACCATATCGTAGGTATGTTGTCGTAGGTATGTAAATGTAAAAAATGACTTTCTCTAATCTATATTGAATAAACATGATTCTATTTTAGTCTATTCTATCTTACTGCTACCTACCTTATCACTCATAATCCATCAGTATTTATTTGAACCAAGGATTTGTAAAATGCCTGCTGGTGAGTGCTCTCCTTTATACAGAATTATGAAATTATTTAACAGAGTTTACTGATGTTGAACTCTGCAGATACACTTTAAATATTCCAAAAAAAAAATTTGTAATAGAATCATAGAAATTACAAACCATGTTTACCTCAAATTATGAGTATGTTATTTCAAAGTTTTATTTTAAGCAGTTTATTTTTCAATGTGTTTTATAATTAATGCTCTGTTATTTTTTGTCTATATTAGGTAGTTTGTGTATGTATAAGTAGCTACTTAGGCATTTTGGGATTTAGTTTCAGAATTCCTAACCCAGCAAATCCATATAAAATCATTAGTTATTTGTCATTTATTCCAAAAACAATATACATTGTGTGAGAAAACTTAATTGGTAGAGCCATGCTGCAGCTATATTAGTAGTGTAGTGTAGCACGAATGGGTTGGCTCGACCGGGGAAGGACCACGCTCTCACAGAATACCAGCGTAAAATAGCAGCTTAACGCTGCTGTGTTTCGTATGGTGAGTGTAGAGAACCGGAGACCCTTTTTACTGGAAAAGAGGCATTCCATCGTAGTCCTCACGGGTGACAATGCATGCGCATTTTGGTTCGCAAATGAGGATAAATGTAGATGTCTATGGGCCACAGCAACCACTTACCATCAGGTAGACTGTGTGCTTGTTTGTCACCCTATCCTGTAAAAAAAAATTGTAACAAAATATTAAATGAAATTAATTAACATTATTGGTGTTTACTTAAAAATTTCTAGAAATTAATTATTAATTAAATAATGCATGCAATATTACTCTTTACCAAACTCAATATAATCATTTACTGTATAGAAACTTTGTTCCCATAAAAAAGATTTTAACCTTTGTTTAAATATGGTAACATTATTTATGGTTTTTAGGGCATTAGGTAGTCTATTAAAAAGTTTTAGAAGTTGATTTCCAATGCTATGCTCAACAACCTGTAATTTTGTTCTAAAGAAATTGGGTATATCTTTTCGTCTTGTGTGGTATCTTGCCATTTCATCATCAGTTTCATATCTGTTCGGATGTCTGACAAGATCAGTGAGTGAAGTTAGAATATACAAAGAGGGCACAGTGAGTATTTTCAAATTTATAAAATGTTCTCTACATGATTGCCTCTGGTGTATGTGAGACATTATTCTAATTGCTCTTTTTTTATAGAATAAACACTTTTTTTACATTATAGGCGTAACTATTTCCCCAAAACTTAAATACTGTATCTTATGTGAGATTCCATTAGAGCGTAATATACAATTTTTGTTTCGTGGTCAGTTCTTCTCTTAAGTTTCTCAAAGCATAGCATGCAGAGATGATTTTGTTCTCTATATTATTTAATCCATCTTTCCATGTTAAATACGAATCTATATAACACCTAAGAATTTTACCTATTGTACAAACGATATGCATTGCTCATGTAAGCTGATGTTCAAGGTATCTCGTGTTTTCGCTGTTGTTAGCTTTTAGCTTTTGTAGTGAAGCTTTAGTTTTTTCTGTATTCCGCATAAGATTATTTTCATTAAACCACTGAGAAAACGTCAAAAGAGCTCTACTTAGTCTATAGTTGAGATCATTTGTATTATGTGCCGATATTACCGCATTTGTATCGTCCACAAAAGCTACAATCTAAACTTCCGGTAAAGAGTTATACATAAAGTGGATCAAATCATTTGAAAATATGATGAAGAAGATTGGTCCCAAAATGGAACCTTGTGGCACTCCTCTATTAATTTTATCAAATTTAGATATATATATCCTTTCATACTTATCCTCCATACACTTCAGTTCAACGTATTGCTGTCTGTTTTCTAAATAAGACTTGAATAGCTGTATATAACATTTTGCTTTATTCCATAGTATTGAAGTTTTTTTTATTAATATATCAAACACCATATCAAAAGCAGAGCTTAAATCCAGAAATAATTCAGTTACTTTCTTTTTATTGCTTAAATTTGTGATTATATCATCAATTAATATATTTATCGCATCAATGACATCAAGGACATCGAGGACCTATCACACACGTACAGTAGTTTTCCGTTCGAAATTTTGCGGGAAAAACGGTATTCCAAATGTATGTGGCCAGCCTTAATATGTTAAGCAGCAACTCATTCATGGATAACGGAGCTGGTATATATGCTATATAAGAAAGAACATAGGTCACGGCCCATACATGCTGTGACCTGGCTATAATATATCGCGAACATGACTAGTTGTGTGGATTAATCCGTTCCTCCTGGGCACAATCTAAATCCTAAATTGAAAATATATTATTTAGAAGCCGAGGATCATAAAACCTTACACTTGTATTTCGTCACTTTTGAGGTAATGATGTAGGCATGACTGCAGCCATGACTACAACCTCAGCTAAAACAATTGATATGAAAACTATTCAGTAATATATACTTCACTAATTAAGTCAAGTCAATGGCTAAAACCACAAAATGCAATCAATAACCTTTCTAATCTTTTCACTGCTAAGTATCTAAAATACAGGTGCTTTGACTTTTGTTCACGCTTTGACGTGTCATAATACCACAGACTGCATAGAGACACTGATAGTATGTTCCATTCTAAGTATTAGTGCATTCTATATTTACTGTCAACCTATCATTCGCATCTTATTTCGGAATACTTTCCATATCCCCCTCTAAAAATGACTATTGATCACTACAAAAAAAAAATACACTAAAAAATAAATAAAAAATCTACAATAAAATCTAGTATTTAAAAAAAGTAAACGCATAATGGTAGTGTTATAATGAAACGTGTACCACAGATAAAAACGGGACAGGTTTAGATTCGTTCAAAACCTATAAAAAGTAGTAAGGACATGAGATTTTTCTTTACAAATCTAAATTATTTTACCGGCGCCAATAAAATAAGTTGGGCCCCGTAATTTAATATACATAACAGTCACTATTTTTTGACATATCAATCATTGGTGGTCATTTCATATTTTGGTGAGGTCGTATTTGGCCGATGTTCTTTAATTGTTTGATTTATAAAGTAAGTCGTAAGTATAAAATTGTTTGTTGCCCTAAATAAATAGAAAATAAAACATTTTTTTATGTGTAGGTATATGCTTGCATTAGGCTAACTTTTACAAGTTGATAAAAATAGAAAAGAGAAAGATGTGTGTGAGTGCTTATATAAATTAAAGATTTTTTTAAATATAATTTAAGTTGATCATGGTTTCGGCATCACTGGTAATGTACACAGTGCTCCATCTATCTTTCTTTGTTTGCCTGAGAATATAACTCACTGAAATCAGATAAAGACAATTGGATAATACCTTGAAACACTTAAAGTAGTTACTTACTATTTAGAGTAAAATCATTTGGTCATTAACATGTTGTATACTTCAAAACTTGAAAATAAGTGTGTGTTGACAGTGATGAGATATGGTCCCTCATTGCTGGCCGTATGAGGAACTTCTAGGTCGCTCAGCTACTATGGAAACTATGCTCCCAGTTTCTCTGTGTGATATGACTTAGAAATTAGGATATGCACAGTAGAACCAGGGAAACCAACACATTGCAACAGATCAGTAAGATGAAGGGGCAGTGGGCCAGCTATATAGCTCTAAGAACCGACAACCAAAGAGGAAGATAGGTTCTCAAGTGGGTGTCTCGTAACAGGAAGCGAAGTGATAAAGAGATGCAGAAAGTCTATGGATTCTGGTTACTCAAGAAAATAAGAACGTGCGTGCGTGCGTGCGTGCGTGCGTGCGTGCGAGCGAGCGAGCGTGCGTGCGTGCGTGCGTGCGTCATGGTCATCGGTGGACTTGTGATGGGCTGTAGTGATGATGATGTACATATGTTAACAAAAAATTATTTTAAACATTTGGAAATAGTTTGAAAACACATTAGAGAACTAGAGGTTTATACATAACGTGGTCAATATGTGGCGAAGATGGAAAACTATACAAAGGAAAGAAACGGTCGTCTTTTCACCTTTAACATAACATTTATAAGAGAAATTCTATACGCGTGCGTGCGTGTGTGTGTATGTGTGTAAAATTATTTTAATTTGTGATTTATTGGTAAAATAATAGAGAGACCAAATATTAATTGCATATTCTGAAACACTTCGTACACACGTAATGGTGCGTACACATTATATAACATAACATGTTATAAAACATGTTTCAGTAATGTGGAGGCTGAATATTATAATACATGTTATATAACTCGAACGGCAGAACGACAAACGACAATGTCATATAATATTTTATATTGCATTGTTATTCTAATGTGTACAGTATTGCTATTTGTTGCAATGTTGAAAAACAATGTTACATAATGTGGATGTGGATGTGTTATAAAACTAAAGTTATACATGTTACTTGATCTGTATGCACCCTAATAAACACTTTTGATACAGATGAAACAATTTATTTTTTTATTAATAACTATCTGTTCCCCGCGACTTCGCTCGCGTGTTAGGATTTTTATTTTTTTGAGCGGAATCCTAATTCTTTTTCTAAAATAAAAGTAGCTTAAGTTATTCCTTATGACATCAGCTATTGAAAGTCCCGTCAAAATTGGTCCAGCCGTTTCGGAGATTAGTCGCAAAAAACAGACAGACAGACAAAAATTTTAAAATTGTATTTTAGTTATAAGTACTGTATTTACTTTCATATGCATTTAGTAACAAGCTGTTATTCTGACATTACAGACACTTCAATTTTATTTATTTTTGTAGTTATTTACAATTTTTAATGAAATAATCAAACATATCTGAATCATTAGTGACAAGTCCTTTAATTTTTAAAAGAGTACTGAAATCAGTGCTTTCACTTTTTCTTCTTAATAAGTAAACCACAGATTTGGGCACTTTTCCTTATTTTGCCATCAGAACTCAGATATTTCGGCTTGTATAGCTTGCTTTAGCTTTTTTCCGAGCTTGTGTACATTTTTTATATTTTATCTATTTCAGATCGCACATGAGACACATGCGGCAAATGAACAACATGATGAATTCTTTATTTTCGGATCCCTTTAGCATGTTTGGGGGTGGAGGTCCTTTGGCTATCACTGGTCCACGACATGGTAGCTCTTTGATGCCATTCATGCCTCAGATGCCATCCTTGAATAGACTTTTCTCAGGTATGTAAATTTGATAACCATCTAAATATACTAGTAAACAAAACAAATTTTTATCTCATAAAAATTGATGTCAATTTAAGAAATGTCTAAATGTGCTTTCTCTTTGTTTTCACTAAAACTAATTGACAATGGATAGATAGGAATATAGATAAATTTTACTTAAGTAATCAACAATTATCTGAAAGGCTAAATAAAACCAATCTCTACATAGTATAAAACAGTTGCTTCCCACTGTTGTATGCTTAGATATTTTAAACTACGTTCTTAATCAATTGACAGAATGATTCAAGAGGAAGGATTATAATATGTGTAATACATACATATTATACAGTGTTTAGTTTAGTTTACGACAATAAATATATTGTATCTTAATTATTTGAAAATGAGTATAATATTAGTTACTTTATCTATAATTTTATTCATCATATGTTTTGTAATGGCAACCAAGCAAGATTGAAGTAATTAAATTTTATAAAGAAAAAAGAATAAATGGAAATACAAGTTTAGTAAATATATATATAAATACTAGCGGGTCAGGCAGACTTTGTTAGCGGCGAACCTCTGTACTATAAAAATCCATAAATTCGTAATATAAAAATATTGAGTGTAACTTATCAGGATAAAAACTATCTCAAGTTGGACCAAACTGCACATAGTGTGCAAAATTTCATTGAAATCAGTTCAGTAGTTTAGGTGTTCATCGCGGACAAACAACGTGACACATAACTTGTTTATATAATAAGATAGCAATCCTTAGAATACTAATTTAAAATTAATTTTCTTGTAAAAATTTAATTTTAAAAAGACATTAAAATCGTTTTTATACAAGCGTGCATCGATTTATTAGTTCATATGTGTGAACTGCTGTGTTCTGGTTCTAAGGGTATAGAGAGCCAGTATAATTACAGGTAGAGAGGACTATATTCATTTGTCACTTCGATTTTATTTAAAGAAACTAACGGTTGGTGTTTCTTCAACAATTTTGTCTTAGTACTTCAAATTTCAACAAAGAATGCTTTTAGGCATTTTAAAACGTGGTGGAACCATGCTGCAGCTATATTATTGGTATAGTTGTAGCACGAATGGGTCGGCTCAACCGGGGAAGGACCACGCTCTTACAGAATACCAGCAAAACAGCAGCGTTAAGCTGCTGTGTTTTGTACAGTGAGTGTAGAGAACTGGAGATCCCTTTTACTGGAAACAAGGTATTCCATCTTAATCCTCACTGGTGACAACGCATCTGCATTTTGATTCGTAATCGAGGATAGATTTAGATATCTATTGGCCACAGCAACCACTAACCATCAGGTGGGCTATGTGCTTGTTTGTCACCCTTATCCTATAACAAAAAATATTCAATACAAAGCAATATTAAATGGAACTACTGGGAAAAAAGTTTCACTAATTCAATGATTGAACTAATCAGTTGAATTTTTTATTTTTATTTTCAGAATTAAGGGTGACAATCGAGCACACAGCCCACCTGATTGGTAATTGGATCCTGTGGCCCATAGATATCTCAGACGCAGCTGCGTTTACACCCCTGAGGACTAAGATGGAATGCCTCGTTTCCAGTGAAAAGGGTCTGGTTCTCTACACTCACCGTATGAAACACAGCAACATTAAGCTGCTATTTCACGCTCGTATTCTGTGAGAGGTTGGTATTTCCTTGGGCAAGGTGACCCATTCGTGCTACAACCGCATTATAAATACAGTGTGGCTCTACCATGAACGAAACGAGAAAAAAACGTACTAATTATGCTATCTTGTGTTGACCAATTATAATTCTGATTCTAGGCAAGCCACATGTTAAAGGAATCAATAGTTAAATGCATTGCTCTAAGATTTTGTAATAATACAATATGTTTCCAGGGGATCTGGATGGCCACATGGGTACTGGTAGCTCATTCAGCAGCAGCACGGTTGTGATGTCCAGTGGACCAAATGGTAAACCGCAGGTGGGTAATGCACAGTTCACCATTACATCTCTGCAGGCCTTAGACGAGTTCTTAGCAATAATGATACCTGCTTCATTGAATATCTCAAATTGGCATTTAACTAGAACAAAGTTTCTCAAACTGGAGGATTGGGCCCCCCTGGGGGTCACACTTAATTTTTTATATATATTACATTACTAATTTTTATATCACCAATATTTTTATTTAAGTATGAAATATTTTTATAAATGTTTAATTTATCAGAAGCCTTAAAGAAATTCTGACACATTTCATAGTCGCTTCTTACAACACTAATTTTGAAAGATTACCTAACGCCATCACCACATCCAATGATGATGGATATATAATCCATCATCATTGCAATCTATCAAAAATCCACTGCTGGCCATATAGGCCTCCTGCATAGATTGCTTGATAGGGGGATATAGATCGCCTTATTGCTTACTGATTAAAGTGGAACACGAGATGGTCACCAACATTTTCGTGATAACTGCTCAAAATAAAAAACTGCACCTATCAAGTGTGGCAACTGTGGCAAATATACTTCCAATGAGCAATCTATAAGGAGACCCTATGTTCAGCACTAGAATTTGAAATAAATTATAGTAACATATTTTTAACTTTATCTTGCTTTGTGGCATTCCTTAGGGAAGGCCTAAGTTTAACAGTGGCCTTGTGAAGGGCTGTAATAATGATGATGATGATGATAGTAACTTATAAAATACTAAAAGGAACAGACAAAACCAAAGTTGACTAAAACATGTCACATAACTATGGGTATGTAAGAACTTGCTCAAATGGGTTACTTTATAACTTCTTTATTTAACTAAAGTCTGAACTGCTTCTTTATTATCAACCCTTTAAAAGTCCAGTTGACTGTCCACTGCTGCAATGACAATTATCTATGTTCAGGTTATAAGCTCATCGAGCAGTACAAAGATTGGACCCAACGGCATCAAAGAGACTCGCAAGACACTACAAGACTCGCGTACCGGTACCAAGAAAATGTCTATAGGTAAATATAATATTGAATGCAATTTTCTCCATCTGAAACCTATATAGGCTTCTATTGTTGCCTGTTTATGTATAACAAAATAAAAGTCAAATGGTTAAAATGGCACCTTTGGCATTCAGCCTTTCTGTATTTTACTATATGGGTATTATGTGGTAGAGCCATGCTGCAGGTATATTATGGTTGCGGCACAAATGTGTCGGCTCGATCGGGGTAGAACCGCTCTCTCACAGAATACCAACGTAAAATAGCAGCTTAAGGCTGCTGTGTTTCTTATGGTACGTAAACGAGGAATTCCATCTCAGTCCACAGGCGCGACAACGCATCTGCATTTGGATTCTTAGTTGAGGATAAATGTAAATGTTTATGGGCCACAGCATCCACTTACCATCATGTGTAAAAATTTTGTACAACTGACTTCAAAATATATTATTAAGTATAACTCAAAAACTATTGGTCAGACCTTGATCAAATTTATATGGGACCAATGAGAAGCATCAGCTTTCAAATAAAAAAAAGAATCATCAAAATCGGTTCATGTAGAAAAAAGTTATAGTTATAGAGGTAACACGCATGAAAAAACAGTCGAATTGAGTAACTTCTACTTTTTGAAGTCGGTAAAAAATATACAATCATTATGCTGCTATTTTACATTGGTATTCTGTGATTTGTTGTGTGTTATATTGGTCTTCTGGTACCTTTTTGGTTACACATGCTAGAGTGTCACTATCCCAAGGGTGTAATTAGTCTTAGGTTAAGAACTCGGATCACATCGGTTATCTTGGTTAGTATGACACTATAACTTAAAATGAAATCAACTTTAAGTCATGTGAATTTCACAGCCATGTTTATAGTTTATTTATTTATTTATTAGTATTATTATTGTTTTTAGTTGTTACCAGGGAGATGCTACTGCCCATCTCCTGTCTTATTTTCCTCTGTCTCTTTCGACACCAATGGGATGATATGGGGTCGTGGATATTCTTACTCCATCACTACATGGTGAATTATCCATGGGTGTATTTAATTTCATTGTGTTTAAAAATTATTTGCCAAATTTGTTTGTATATGTGATGTGATTGCTCTTGTTTATTTAAACAAAGACTGACAACAAAGTTGTTTATTAGTTGGTGGTATTGCAATAAATTATTATGAAATATTTAGAAATTAATGCTTACTTTAATTTAATTGTTTTCGGCAGAAGATGCAATTTTCTTTTTTTTATTTGGCTTAAAAGATATTAATCTATTTTCCATTGTACTTAAGGCATTTTACTATCAACAATTATTTATGATTGTAAGCTGTTATTTTTTTTAAAAGTCCCGCTGGGTTCCTTCCTGCCTCTTCCCAGGACAGAGGTTTTTTTTCGAACCAGTGGTAATTAAACAAAAGAGTGACGTTCAGTAAGTATTTTTTTATAGGATAGGGTGACAAACGAGCACACAGTCCACCTGATCGTAAGTGGTTGCTGTAACCCATAGATATCTACATTTATCTTCAATAAAGAATCAAAATGCAGATGCATTGTCACCCGTGAGGACTAAGGTGGAATGCCTCTTTCCCAGTAAAATAGGTCTCCGGTTCTCTACACTCACCATATGAAACACAGCAGTGTCAAGCTGCCAATTTACGCTGGTATTCTGTGAGAGCGTGGTCCTTCCCCGGTCGAGCCGACCCATTCGTACTACAACTATACTACTAATATAGCTGCAGGGCTCTACCACGTATACAAATATTCTATAAAAAAGTTTCTGTTTCGGTTTCAGTATAAACTATAAAAATTCTTGTTCTGTAGCAGTTAAACTCTTAGGCTGGCATTTAGGGACAATCTCAAGGTTAAACTCAAAACTTCAAAAAGTTCAAATTTGTATAACTTAATATGGTCTTAGACTAGACTCAGAGATTGACATTGTGGAGTTTGAGCTTAAACTCGATATCATCTTTGAACACTGGCCCCATTCACTGGGATACTGAGTCTTCGAATAAAGTTGACTATATTGTTTGCAGGTCACCACATCGGCGAGCGAGCACACCTGATCGAGCGCGAACAGAACTACTACTCAGGCGACGCAGAGGAAAGGCAGGAGTTTATAAACATCGAAGAGGAAGAGGCGGAGGACTTCGATCGGTATGACTTGTTAAGTTCACCTCTGGGCTCAGTGGGCGGCGTGATGGTAAAGGGTTGCTGTGGCACATAGAGATCTACATCCATCCTCATTTGCGAATCAAAATGCAGATGCGTTGTCAGCCGTGAGGACTAAGATGGAATAAGGCATTTCCAGTAAAAAGAACCCTTTTTACTGGAAATGCCTCATTTCCAGAAATCAGGGTCTCCGGTTCTCTACACTCACCACTCGAAACACAGCAGCATTACACTGCTATTTTACGCTGGTATTCTGTGAAAGCGTGGTTCTTCCCCGGTCGAGCCGATCCATTCATGCTACAACCAGGGATTGAATACCGATACCAATTTCTGTTCTGGTTCTTCATTTAGCTTCTTATAAAGGTTCCTCTTTTCGGTACGGTTCCAGTTCCGGTATCGGTTCCGGTTTGGGTTCCGATTTACCGCATCTAAATACCGGTTCAGAACCGGTATTTAGAATTATTTTATTATTTTATATTAATTATTTTATTTTATTATATTCATTATTAATTATTTCTCCAAATCCGTAGATTGGTATAAAAATTCCGTACAATTCCGTAGATGCTATTTCAAAATATCCGTTCCGTTGAGGATCGACAATATTTGTTTTTGAACTTGCTTGATAAATTCATTCTGTCATGGAAAATTCTTTTTGTAAGTTTAATTGTAGTATAAGATCGAATCAAGCTGCACTGTAAGAAAAAAGTACCATAAAAATTTATTAAAATTAATTACTTTAATTGTGAGTGCCAAAATTACACAATAATTCTGGATATCAATATATTTATAACGATAAACAAACGGGAACTAAGGTGTAACGGGAGTAACAGGATTTTTTTTTTCATTTTTAAGGATAATTAAAATAGAACCACGAGTGCGATTAATTAAATATTTTTTAGTAAAAAAGAAATAAAATAACTTTACATACTTTAATATTTGTGGATAGTTATACTAAAAAATATGTTACAAATTTAATTATAACAACTTATTAACATGGATTTTATTTTCTGGTTTTTGTTAGTTTATTTGATATACTATGGTGTTTCAGACTCAGGTGATTTATGTAACAATGAAAAACTATAATGTAACAAAGAAATTCGAAAAAAAAAAGATTGAGGAAAAGCGAAGAATAATTCGGCAGAATTTTTTAATAATTGTAAAAACAAATGGGATAGCATGGATTAGAAAATTTTGAGACATAAGTGACAATTCAATCATCTATAAAAAAGGTTATAAGGGCTTATATTAACTGCCTATTTTCCAAGAAGTGTTCTCAATTCGAAACTAACGTAATTTAATTCAAAATATCTAAGCTATTAACATTTCAAATCGATTACCCTCACAAAAATTTGATATTTATGAGTAAAAATGGTTTTATTTTAATACAGATAGTATAGAATCAATTATTAAAAATATAATTTAATACAGACAACATTAGAAGAAAAGAGACAGTTCAAAACTTACTTTTTACAGTGGTAGCGCCACGCGGCAGCTTTTGCTGTCGCACGGATGGGCCGGCTCGAACCGGGGTGGTACCACGACCTCACAGAAAACCAGCGTGAAGTAGAGGTTTACCTCTGCGTTTCGCTTGGTGAGTGCAGGTGGCCGGAGATCCTTTTTACTGGAAATGAGGCATTCCATCTTAGTCCTCACGGGTAACAACGCATCTACATTTTGATTTGTAACAGAGGATAGATGTAGATGTCTATGGGCCGCAGCAACCACTTACCATCAGGTGGACTGTGTGCTCGTTTGTCATCCTTATCCTATAAAAAAAAATATTATTTACTTTTTACATTCATTCATAATTAAAATTAATTTAGTTTTCACAAAATAATGGTCATTTCATGGTCTTATATGCGATATTTGGTTCATATCATGGTTCCCATTTACTATTGAGATACATCTACCCACATGATCGGTGTCTATGACTTTGCCTTGGCATATGGTCTAACACAACTGGTTACTTCGCCTACGTAGATCCCAGATGTGGAGGATCATGTACCTTCCCTGTTGGACCTTCTGCTGACCTCTCATCCGGACGGATATCAGGTCTCCGTCGATGCCCTCTGAGCTCTTCGGACCATTGTCTGATCCGGAGTTCGGAGCCACTTACGCTCCCATCGCAGTTGCGATCTGCAGCTTGCGGCCGTGCTTGGTACTATAGGTCGTCCGATTGGGACGGGATGCGGTCTTTTTTTGCATTCTACCCTTGGGCGCGGGTCTGCTTCTCGTCGGAATATCCCAGCGTTGTTGCCGATTCTGTTGCTGATGTGGTACTTCAAGGTGTGGAACTTTTTATACCATCCTCTGTGGTGCCCATCGGATGCAGATCCCAGCCATGGTTTGGTCTCTCCTGTAAAATAGCATCACGCTATTAGCAGGAGTGCTACCGGGCCTGGGCTGGCGCATCAACGTCTGGGATGTAAACAGTTCAATTGAAAAGAAGTATAATTCCGCCTCCAGGTTCTTCAAAAGCGTCATTGGCAAGGCAAGGTCTGAGCACATCGGCAGAATTGGCGAGAAGCTAGTTAGCCTTCATTCGGGAACCCGTGCATTCTGGTCTCTCGCCAAGGCTGTCCAAGGGAACTTCTGTCAGCTATCTCTTCCATCTCTGCACAGGGAGGACAACTCACTGGCCCATGCCGCAAAGGAGAAAGCCGATCTGCTAGGTTCTTTCTTTACGTCCAACTCGACTCTCGATGAGAGGGGGAACACACCGCCGACCATCCCGCGGTGTGAGTGCTCCATGCCGGATGTGCTATTTACACAGCGCTTGGTTCGTAAAACACTCTTCTCCCTGGACGTCAGTAAGTCGAGTGGGCCTGATGGAGTCCCTCCCATTGTGCTGAAGACGTGTGCTCCGGAGTTGGCACCGGTTTTAACGCGTCTTTTCCGGTACTCCTACTCCCAAGGCGTAATCCCGAATCCATGGAAGACAGCTTTGGTCCATCCGATCCCTAAAAAAGGCGACCGTTCAGACCCGTCCAACTACAGACCTAATTACCTCCTTGTTCTCCAAAACCATAACCTCCTTGTTCTCCTAAATAATGGAAACCATTATAAAATGCCAGCTCATGAGGTACCTTAAGGATCACCAGCTGATTAGTGACCGCCAGTACGGTTTTAGTCGGAGTCGATCAGCTGGTGATCTTCTGGTCTACCTGACCCATAGATGGGCGGAGGCAGTAGAGTCCAAGGGTTAGATATTGGCCGTTAGTTTGGACATAAGGCCGTTAGCGAAGGCCTTCGATCGGGTCTGGCACAAAGCGCTTCTTTCGAAGCTTCCTTCCTACGGGCTTCCCGAGAAATTGTGCAAATGAATCACCAGTTTCCTTGCTGATCGGAGCATCAAGCTTGTAGTACGGACGCTTGTAGACGGTGCATGCTCTGATTTCAAAACTATCAACGCTGGTGTTCCACAAGGTCTGCTAGGCGTGCTATCACCAACGCTGTTTCTCCTGCATATCAATGATATGTTGCAAACTAGTAACATTCATTGCTATGCAGACGACAGCACTGGTGATTCTTTATATACCGGCCGTGCCAATATTTTTCTGGAAAACGTCGCCGAGTACCGGGACAAACTTGTGTATGAAGTCGAGTCCTTGCTGAACAAAGTCTCGGATTGGGGGCGACTAAATCTAGACCAGTTCAATCCCCAGAAGTTTGCGTGTTCACCGCTAAACAGAACCCCTTTGTCGTATCTTCTCAGTTTCAAGACACTCACCATGCTGCCTCAGCTAGCATCGGAAACCTCTGCGTCGACATCGAATAGTGTGCAGTTTCGTGGTCACTTGAAAGGGAAGGCCAAACTGGCCTTTAAATCGCTTGCAACTTTACAAAGTGCAAATCCCGCTTCACATGGAATACTGGTCTGATCTCTGGGCCGGGGCACCCCAGTGCCAGCTCCTTCCACTTGACCGCATCCAGCGCAGAGTGGTTCGAATCGTCGACGACCGAGTTCTTTCTGATCGGCTCGATACACTCGCACTGCGTAGAGATGTGGCATCTCTTTGCGTATTTTATCGCATTTACCACGGGGAGTGCTCTGAGGAATTGTTCGGACTAATTCCAGCCACTCTATTTCACCATCGCACATCGCGACAAAACTTGCGATACCGATGTTTGGCGGTCCACCACTGTGCGATTTAGAAGATGTTTTCTTCCTCGCACAACTCCCTTGTGGAATCGATTACCACCAACGATTTTTCCGGACCGATACGACTTAGGGACCTTCAAGAAAAGGGCCTACTCCTTTTTAAAAGGCCGGCAACGCATCTTCAATTCCCCTGGTGTTGCGGTTGTTCATGGGCGGCGGTAGTCACTTACCATCAGGTGAGCCGCATGCTCGTTTGCACCTTCTCCTATATAAAAGAAATCCGTAGATTGCAGCGTCAAATTCCGCAGTTCCGTAGATGATGACAAATTTCCGTATATCTATAGAAAAATCCGTAGAGTTGGCAACACTGCGTTGATATGCAACAGAAGATCCACCAATACTAATGTGATATTTTACAAACTCCCCTCTCATCACTCTCCGCCGCGCGCCGCATTGCGCCGTCCACCCGACCGCACCTCAAACAAGCTTGGACTCGTTTTCGCTTTGCTTAGGAACCGGTAAAATAAAGGTTCTTAAAGGTTCTAATTTAGGTTCTGGTTCCTGTTCCGGTATAGGTACCGAAACCCCTAAATACCGGTTCTATACCGGTATTTTGGAACCGTTTTCAATCCCTGGCTACAACTATATCATTAATATAGCTGTAGAATAGCTCTACCACGTTGTAACTTCCTTATTATTCTTCTCCATGTTCCGAGCATAGCAGCCAATATATTTTATTGATATTTTCCTTTTTTTTTACTTATTATAATAAGCCAGTGCTTGACCAAAATCCTATCTGGTGGTAAGTGGTGATGCAGCCCTAGATAGTAAATCGCACTGTCTTAGCGTAACAAAAGCCTGTTCACTCTTGCCTTGAAGGCGC